GGCAGCACAGGTGCCTGGGGACACTGAAAGGACACTAGAGGCACTGCAGTACAGTGTGGGACAGGGCGATGCCAGCCCGGGGGTGTGCACTCACTGTGGGGCGAACCACTCTGGGGTGGCATATGGGGCATTGCCGTGGGGTGGCACCCCAGCAGCATCATGGTGGGGCAGCAGCCCTGGAGCTGCTGGAGCACATCTGGCCACCTCTCACTAGCTGACACATTCCCCACCACCCCCCCGCCCAGCTTTTTTGGGAACTTTTTTTGGGTAGGTTGGGACGCAGTGAGCCTGGACCCCTCCTCTGAGAAGGGGGGCACCAAGTCCCACCTGTGTCCCTACCCTGAGTCCTGCTGGGGTTTTCCTGCTGCTGTGACACCAGAGGCCACTGCTGTCCCAAGCCGGCCCCCCCACCCCTGGGAGGGCCACCCCAACACGGAACCACTGAAGCCACCCCCAAGGAGATTCTTTGTTATGGGGGCGGCGGGTGGGGGGGCTCAGCCGAGGGGCCAGCCCAGCTGCTGCCCCCCCCAGCACGTAGAGGTGCAGGTGGTGGATGGACTGGGCGCCGTGCTTCCCGTCGTTGATCACTGCTGGGAGAGGGACAGAGGTCAGGTCAGCCCCACGCCACCACACGCAGGGGTGCTGGGGCTGGGTTGTGGCAATGGGGCTGGGCAGGCAGCCCAGGGCATGGGGTGCTGCTGGCACCCCTGAGATGTGCCTCAGCTCAGGGACATGGCCTGGTTGTGGCACACATGGTGGCCTTGCGGCACCCAGCCTGCTCCCTCCCTGCCTGGCACCCAGCACTAGGATGGGCCTCTTGCCCCGTGGGACGTGGGCACCTCCCAAAAAAACCCTCTTGCTCCAAGTGGGGGTGCTCCAAAGCATCTCGAGTGTGGGTAGGTTAGGTCTTTGTCCCACAGAGTTCCAGTGGGACCCTGGAGCCTTTGGGGAGTATCCTGGGGCGGACAGGCTCACCTGTCCCCTTCCCAAGGAGAGAGGGCCAAGGACCCAAGCCTTGTACAGTCCCTGTACCAGGGGCCACCTGCCCTGGAGCCATGCCCAGGGCAAAGCTGCCCACCCGGGAGGTGCCTGGGGGGGGGACTCCAGTCATGCCTGGAGGGGGGCTGCGCTCTGGGGAC